TGCAGCTGAGAAATTGCCCCCTCCATCTGTCGAAGGTATCCGCGAGTGGGTGAGTGCCATCCTTCCCCATAAGCTGGGGGTTCGCACATGGTCGGCCTTTCATGAAAAAATTGGACGTAGGCCCCTTACAGGTGAGGTGTCATTTCTATTTTCTATTTTTTTTCTCTTTTTACTTAGATTCTTATGTGCGGTTTTGTCGATGCCAGGGAGAGTGCGGAGAGCGAGGGCTCCTCCATTAGCTTTTCGTCAGCCGGCATCGTTTGCTCACCCTGCTGCAGCCCTTCTGCTGGGCCTTCGTCGAAGGCTGCTTCAGTTGAGCCTGCGACTCTGGTTACTCCTGCGGAGGCCACTTCTCAGACCGAGGTCTCGACTCGTGTCGCTCGTCTGACGAGTGAATCTCCTCGTGCTGAGGAAGGGTCGTCCAAGAGGCGACGAGTGGAGTTCGAGGCAACCCCTCCAACTGTGATACACTTGGACGACTCTCCCTTGACAAGATCTAGGGCGGGTATCGATACCACTCCGCGCATAGAGATGGAGCCAGCCGTTGTATCTGCCCCGCCGACAGAGATTCCTGCCATTGTCATTGATCAGCAACCTGCCGTGACGGGAGGCCAGATTTCTGAGGCCGCCATTGTGGTTTTGGAGGTACCCTCGTCCTCCGTACTTGGTCGTGCTTCCTCTTCAGCTGCTGAAAGAGGAAAGGGTGTCGTGGTCGACGACTATGAATCCGAGTCAGACCTCGACCCTGATGATGTTAGGATATTTGAGGAGGGTATTACCCACTCGGTGGTTCATGCGGGAGGCCTGGCCCATATTCTGGAGATCTCTTCGGATGTTAATCTCCTGGGGGACACGGAGGATTTGGTATCGCAATTCGACATTTTGTGCTCCGCTACCGAGAACGAGGCTCTCTGGAACGTTCCTAAAAGCGACTTGATGAATGAAGTAGCCGCTATGGGCCTGAGGGTATATTTCGCTTTTCTTTCATGTTTCTTTTATTTTTATGGACGATACGATCTTAACTCTTCTTTTTGTTTTTCAGACGTACATGTTGGAAATTGAGAGTTCCCGTAGGGATGACATTCGGACGAAGATTTTCCTGAAGGCATTGGAGAAATATCGGCGCTATCGCAATAAGTGCTGTGAGTTGCACGAGCGGATGAGGGGGAATCCCGGTGCTCGATCCCTCGGCGAGGAACTAGAGAAGAGAGACCAGCAGTTGATGGAGGCCATTCACAGAAATAGTGTGCTCGAGGAGCAACTTTGTGCGAAGAACGAAGAGCTTGAGTTGGGAAAGGGGGTAGCCGCAGAGTGTGACTATCTGCAGGAGAAACTGAGGTCGATGCAGGCTGGGGTGGATCAAAATCTTATCAAGGTCGAGGCGATGAGTGCGGAGTGGATGGGAAAGTTGGCCGAATTGGAGAGAAAGTTTGTCGGGTTGGAGAGCATCGAGAGTGCTTGGTCTGCAACTTCGGCAAAGGCGGCGGCCCTGGAGAACACTATCCGCGTCCTCCAGTCTGAGTAGGAGTCGGAGAGAGCGACGACCACGCTAATGGAGGAGAGGCTTGAGGAACGTATTGGTGAGATCAACCGGGAAGCTTCGAACTTAGGAGATCGAGTCGCCGCTCTGGAAGCCGAGAAGGAGCAACTATTGGCTCAAATTGAGTCCTCCGCTGCTGTTCCCCGCCGCTTACACGAGCTTTGGGTTCATACTGAAGCTCAGCGGGATATATACAAGAGTTTGTGGGAGGCGGACAATGTTACTAAGGCCGCATATAAAGGAGCACGGGCAAAGGTGCGAGAGGCTCGTGTCAACTGTGGTTATGACTCTGCGACTTCGGAGGCAGATGAAGGTGCGGATGATGAGGGAGGGCTTCCTGGAGATGGTGGCGATGATGATGCCGAGTGAAATAATGTTCTCTTTGTCTATTTTCTGTTTTTTTATACATTCGTTGTCGGTTGTCATTGTTCTTTTTTCCTTTTTTCTTTTCTATTGTTGGCTTGGGCCGTGTGTAATTTGCGACCGTTTGCGCAGTGATTTGTATAAAGAATTTTTCGTTGTTATTTGCCTTGTACTTTGTCTTTGTTTTTGCTTTTCATGACTTTGGTGCGAGGTAGATTCTCGTATGGCGAGTCCCGATTTTCTTTCCCTTTATATTTTCTGTCGGCCCTTGGCCTTAGGGATATTTCGAATTTTCTCTTTGGCGATGGCTCGTGGCCTTGAGGGTGTAATTTCGAACTTTCGTCGAAATGTCAACCCATCGTTGTTCGATCAAGGTCGAATCTTCTTTTTGGCGAAGGCCCTTAGCCTTAAAGGGTGTTATTTCGAACTTATCGAGATAATAACCTGTCGCCATTCGATTGAGGTCGAACTCTTCTTTTTGGCGAAGGCCATTGGCCTTAAAGAGTGTTATTTCGAACTTATCAAATGATAACCCGTTGTCATTCGATCGAGGTCGGAATCTTTTTCTTGGCGAAGGCCCTTGGCCTTAAAGGGTGTTATTTCGAACTTATCGAAATGGTAACCTGTCGTCGTTCGATCGAGGTCGAACTCTTCTTTTTGGCGAAGGCCCTTAGCCTTAAAGGGTGTTATTTCAAACTTATCGAAATAGTAACCCATCGTTAGTCCCAGTTTTTGGAGAATCAGGCATCTTCTGGGAGTGTCCCAGTTCGCTTGATATTGTTTGCATCGGAGAGTGTAATGTCGGAGAATACGAAACGTTGTTGTTTCGCTTATGTTCGTTTTGCGCACATATTGGAGTTTCCCTGTCTGATTCCTGCCTTCCGACCTGGAGGTGTCATCGGCGGGGGATGTTTCAGTTATCTTGTAGTAGTTTCCCATTCTCTGATTGAGATGTTTCTTTGCTCGCTCGCCTACGCGGTACTTGTGTTCTTGCGTGAGCATAGAGCAGAAGGTGAGTTAAAATGGCACTTTCCTTACCCCCATCCGATGAATCGGTGAATGAGAGTAGGTTTGTAACGTTGCCCATTTTATCAGGCATTTTGACGGTTGATGGGGCGATGATTCCTAAATTCGGTGGCTGTTTCCAGCTCTCTTTCCCCTCCTATGCTGCGTCTTTGCCCTGCGTGGGTTGGGCTTTTTCTTAGCGCTCTTTTCGGTGGGTAATCGTGTTTCTTGTCTTTGATCTGGAAGAGACTAGGAAATTTCATTAAGAAATCCCCACAGACGGCGCCAAATTGTTTGACTCAAAAGGTATTGGAGCCTTTTTAACAAATCAATTAAAGAAAGTGAAGGGATAAATCTTAGTTAAACATAATAAATTCCAGATCAATGAGCTAATTGAACAAATAGTACACAGGATGAAATAGAGGTAACCAATCTTATTAAAACTTTCATTGTGACTCCCATTAATCAATGGGGAAGGTTGTTTTACATGTTTTTCTAATGATTGCTTCATTCTTCTTCTTATTATGAAGATTGCAGAAGAGAGAAATAAGGAGAGAGGGAGAAGCCCCCAAGCCCCCCTCACAACCGAAGGTTTTCCCTTCCTATATATAGTCATTGGGACCTTTGCTATTTGCTTGGTCTGACTCTCTCTCACACTATCTATTTTGGTCGTCCCTTGAACGTTGTTCTTCTGACTCGACGGATATCGTGAGTGCGAGATGTAGAATGGACCATGTCGTCTTTCGATACCTTGTCGCTTGGACGGGATATTAGTCAGCTTGACCGCAGTGATCAGATTTTGACCAATACAAGCCTAAGTGTGGGTTCAAACAATAACTTTTGCTCAAACAATATATTTGTATTAAGAAATTCACTAAATATGTGTAAATATTAAATTTAGAATCCAGTTAGTAGCTCTTAAGATTGCCGTTCTAAAATTTGGAACCCATAAAGTTGAAATGTTCGTTCCGTCTGTGCTCCCTAGTCTCTACCTACTTTTCTTTTTATCTATTCTGTTTCATTCGTTTGTCTAACTCCTATTTACTACTTTCTACTTTCGATTATATAGGACATTATAACTCAATTTTAAGAGTTTTAATAACTGCAAAAACTTAGGTTTGTTGAGTATTTGAAGTACTTATTAGTTTCGTATGATTGACCATTGGAATTGAATTTGGCCGGGGATGTCCTTGTACGAACTAAAACCGTATTACCTCAAAAACAGTATAGGCAGCGAATTTGAAGTTGTTAAACAGTCCCTTTCATAAATATTTTTTCAATTACTTTTATACACGTCTGACTATTGAAAAATATGATTTTATTTAGTCTTTAAAATATACAAATATTATTTTTTAAAACTAAGAAACTGACATCCATAAATGTACATTAAAAATTAAATTAATCTTCGTATTTCAAAATCCTTTCAAGAACAAAGGAGTACTTAAATAATTGTATGAGTAACTTCGCCGGCAACAGCGACAACAGACTATCTTGCTTTGGATTTTGGTTGCCATTTCACGACAAACTAATGTCGGTATTCTTTTATGACCATTGGTTTCATCATTTTGTCGTCTCTTCAATGAGATAACTCACTGCATAGCAACAAACAAGGAAAACGAGAGAAAAGTCCTGCCCAATCGAATCGGAATTGCAACAATGACAATGTCTTCGAATCAACTTCTTACTAACGTTGTGTTGTTTAAGTTTAGAAGATAGCTATGATAACCAAAGTCCAAGCCATTTAATTTACTCGTTTTGGAAGTGCACTGACAAACTTTTTTGGCCTCTAGATATTCAAATAGAACTTACATTTTTTGGCCAGTCTTAGAACTATAAACCTAACATTTTTCAATGACAATAGTGCCCAAAACAGCTCGCACGAAAATCACCTAGTCCAATCAGATTTTGACATCACCAGCCAATACAAATACCAAAAAGACTTGAGTAGATGGAAAAAAATCACCATTGTTTTTTTGTTTTTGTTTTTTTGGTCTCTGCTTAGATATAAACCCTAATTTACACTGTTTTCACCCACTTCATGACTGCAAAACGATCATTTAAGCACAGCTATCAGAGCATAAAAGAGCTTGAATGGAAAAAAAAGGGATCTTCATATTGCATCATTTTCCTGCGTAACCTAGTAAATATTGATTGTCCTCTAAAGGTGGCTTAATTGTGCAAAATAGATAATAAAAGCATTCAAAATCGTCTATAAGTTGGAGTGTCAGAGAAAGAGGGGTGGAAATAAGAATTCCAAGAAGAAAAAGAAGCTAAGATGGGAAAAAGTAGGTCGGGAAAACCTTCTAAAAGAAATTCTCATTGTGCACTCAAACATTTGCAATTCCTCAAACCTTGAAACCTCTGCTCTTTCTTTTCCCTCTTGCTCGCTCAAACTTCCTTCCCTTTGCCCGAACATAAGGCTTCGTGTGGCTGTGCGAGACACCGGGAGCTCTACCAAAGTGTTTAACAGCTTCCCGCGAGTTCTTTGGACCCCTAAGCAGTACCTGAGAGAACACAGCCAACAATATCAAGAAAGCATAGAAGCGGTGAGCGCTTCGCCTCGCTTTGGGGGCGCTTCTGTGTCGCATCAAGGCTCTAAGACATAACTTTTCCTTGCCTATGAGTGCAATCCTGAAAAGGAGACACTAAACAACTGATATTTCATTTTATCGTAATTATTTTTCAATTTTTTGTCTGCATATGTGTTATGCTTATAATTATTGGTCTTTGGACTACATATATATATTTTTACTTTTTCTCCCATTGCGCCTAACCCATAAAAGCACGAACTGACAGGGGACATAGTTCCATACCGTGTTCTGCCCAAGAGGGGCTCTAAGAGCAAGCTGATCAAAGGTCAAGCATTCTCCACCAGCCTTCTCAATCCTAGCTCTAGCTGTTTCAGTGAATCTCAGTGCAGTAACAGTCCCTACAACTACAGCAACCTTGTCCTCCTATCATATAGGAAAGAAAATACAAAATAACCATTTAGTACGTCAGTAACAACTAGCTGTTGTTTGCTTTGTTGTATAAGAAGAACTAGTCCCGTATATAACTCTACGTTATTAATCAAACATTTAATTTCTGGCATAAAACTCTGAACGGTTTGAGGAATAAAACTTTGCATTATATAACTAATCTATGAGTTATTTTATACATGATAGAATTAAGGAACAAGAACATGTGTATCAACAATATAAGGATTAAGATTACTCTGACTTTAATATGGAACCTATTACTACTATTCACAGCATATTATTATTCACTGTCTAGCGACCAAATGCTGCATAACTAGTCCTTGAGCCAAAGGGCCCCTTAATGGGCAGCAAGTGTAAGCTTTTCAAGTAACAAAATTAACTCAGACCAGAACAACCACATTAAAATCAATAAGCAAGAACATTCTAACAACTAATCACAGTAAATGAGTTTAAACTCATAGATCAGTAAGGTAAAACAGAGCTAAAAGGGCTGAATAACAATAACCTTTCCTTTCATGTAAGTAATCAAGCGTGATAGAGACAAGGGAGCTTTATTGATCTTGCTCATGAACAGCCTCTTCAGTATCACCGCATTGAACTGGCTCCCAGTCCTCCGCACAAGAAACCGGTACAGCTTTTACATTACCCAATTAGCCATACAATTCTCAGTACACTATCCGAAAAATGCACTATATTTATAAAGACGGAAGATTTAAAAAGTTAAAGGAAAAACCTTAACAAGAAGCTTGAGATAAACATCGTCGGATTGTGGGGTAGTGCGTTTAGTCTTTTTCGACTTACCTCCCGCAACTAGATCGATGCCCTGAAGATAACAGGAAATAACAAAATAAATCAATGGTGTAAGTAGAAAGAGTGTAGAAGCTACTGGAAGAGTCTAGAGAAAGGCATTAACCATGGCTGCTCCGCCTGCTGCTTCCGCTTCCCGCCGCAGCTGCTGCTTATCGTTGACGTCTTCAATGGATAGAGAAAAGAGACCAAAGCTTTTGTAATCCCTTTGAATCAAGCCCTAATCCACGAAACGTTAATTGGGCTTGTTGGTTGGTTTCTGACTTTGTGTATTGTTAGTCTAAGCCCAATAGGCCCAAGTCTCTCTATCCTAGGACTAAATTAGTAATGGGATTATTGTATAAGAATTTTTATCTCCTATAGCAACCTTTACACCTTATTTATTATAAATAAATACTTTTTTATAAAATTATATTCTATAGCTATCTTTTAGGTTTTATAGCAAATTATCTATTTATGGTCACTTCCTATTGTTAAGTCATTAAATACGCTCTGAAATATTTTTCTCTCTCTCCCAATAACACCGGCATTGTATACAATTTTGTTAAACCCGCGTTCTCTCTCCACTATCTCTGTCCCAACCTAGTATTTTCTCCACGAATATAACCTCCATTATCAACTGATTCATCTCCATTCTGTCTATTAATTTTCAAAATTGTTTGCCCAAAAAGTTGTGGTAAGTGTTAAACTTGTTAGTTTTTCGCTAGCACTTGTATTATTCTATATATTTGTACTTTTTTTTTTCCGTAGAAACAATCACCATTGTTATCCTTTTACAGAAAATTCGGATTTTCTTTTCCAATGGCTGATTCAACTCCTTACAAGAGGGTTATCTGAGGTATACCGTCCAAAGCACTCAATTTCGAAGGGCCATATTTCGATTTGCAAATCACTCAAGCGGAACATGTTTTTGCAGGTTCAACAACAAATACAATTGCGGAAAAGAGAACAAAAACACGCAATGACACATCGAAATTTGAAAGAATCAACACTTTCACTGTTTGTTTTTAGATGTATTTAGATATATTTTGATGTATTTTGATGACTTTCACTGTTGTACTTATGAATATGTTATGTATTTCAAATACATGTATTCATCTGTATTTTACTGATAAATAGTTATTACATTGACTTTCACTATTTGTTTTTAGATGTATTTAGATGTATTTACAAGGCTTTCACTGTTGTACTTATGAATATGTTATGTATTCCAAATACATGTATTCATATAAAATGAGTACATGTTTTGAAATCTACAACACGATAGCAACAGAAAAAGAAGGGATTGAAAATCTAGAGATTGCTCTGTTTTGTGATCTTTTTCGACTGGAAAATCTTTTCTTTAACGTGAAATACAGATTCTGCGTGTTATTATTGAGTTAGTTGAGTTATATTAGGAGTCTATCGCGTTAATTGATTCACTTACCGTTTTAAACAATTGAAAAAGACCATTTTTACGTAGTTTACATTATTGTATTCACAAATACAACTGGCGAATACAGTCGTACAACCGAATATTCGAATACAACCGTTGTTTAACTGGACTCCCCTATTTCACACCGAGTTTTGCTATTGTATTCATTAATACAATGACTTAAATACATCGAATACACTCTATAACAACTGAAAACATAGTTATAGAAAGTAATTTAGTAAATGATAGTTATAGCTAGCTAATAACCACTAAATAATAGTGATTTGTGAAAATTTCTCTATTGTATACTACCCGCCCCAAATAAGGATTGCTTACAATTTATATACAATTCATTATTAGTGCCTTAAATTAGAGGATTCAGTTATACTCTTTTCCTTTTTTCTCTCTTCTCCTCTCCTCTTTCCCTATTCTCTACGCCTTCTATCCATGTACAATCCATTATTAGTGCCTTAAATTATGGGATTCAGTTACACCATTTTTTTTTATCTCCTCTCCTCTTTCAGATAGTGCCTTAACTGTAGAATAACATTTCCAATAATGTCGAACCACAGTAACGTAAAATAGTTCAAGACTTAACTGAGAACCAAATCTTATAAAACTATTTTAATAGCTTAAACCAGAAAGTAACGCCAAACCAAAACAATAGAGACACTGACAATAAAAGTACCTAAACCAGATAAGTTGAAGCGAAAATATTCAAATTTGATACATGTACAACAACATATAAACTAAAAACAAATTTTATACAAACTAATTATATAGTATATAACTTATTTATAACTTATCTATAGCTTTCATACATCATTTTTACCTAGTTAAAAATAACTACAACATCATATAATTTAAAATACAATTTTCATACGAATTTTAAAAAAATATATCTTTTGTATATGATTTGTATATATTTTGTATGTGGTGTGCTCTTTTTTTTCCTCTAAAATTCCAATCAAAACTTCCTCTCTTAATACAATTTTGATACATATCAACAACTTTAGATAAAAAAATATATTTATAACTTAAATACAAATTTCATACAACGATTCATACATAATATAATTATTTTTCAACTTTCATACAATATTCAAATTAAAAATATATAACTACAACAGAATAAAACTAAAATAATATTTACATATGATTATAATACATCTTCGTCATTTTCGAGTTTCAATATGAAATTTCATTCAAAATCAACTCTACTCTTCATCATACACCCTCAAAAGTGAGATATAAACTCCAAAAAATATTTTCGATCATTTGCAACAGCACTCAATCAAAACAAATAATAATATAAAATAAATAAATTCAAAATCAAAGTTTCGAAGCTTTTGATGATTTTCAATGGCTGGCGGGGCAACGGATAATGACTGGTTCGATGGTGATAAGTGACGATATGAAGACTATTATCGAATTTTGTGAAAGAAAAAAAAAAGGGGAAGAGAATCATAAAGATTCAAAGAAGCCTTTGAGAACATACTCTTTTGCAGGCTTGATTTTCTGAAAAGACTCTCGGTCGAAGAGCAACTGTAGAAGGAGAACAAAAAGGTATCAACTCTTGCACCACTTTAATTTGCTTTTGTTACGAAAAATTAAAGAATGAAATAACATCCTAGCACAAGCTACGCATGGATAGAGCGAAGCAGAAGAATAGGCAATCATAAAATCAGTAGCTAATATGTGAAGTCGGGGGAAAAAAAGAAAATAGAGACAGAGAGGAGAGATATTTGTGGAACCGGTAGATCTGTGAAATTTGATTTTCACATTAAAAGGATACAATCAAGGATACACATTTAAATTTTATTTGTATAGAACTGATAAATTGTATATCAACTTGTAATTAAGTTAAAACCTAAATAGTTAGGGAAAATAAATTTCTAATGTAGTATATATATGTAAAAATCTCATTAGTAATCGTACTAGTATGTAGTTATTAACTTGGTAGAAAATACATGATACTCCATTCGATACAATTTATATGATTTATTGTTTAGTTCATCTGACTTGTCTATCATAGTCCAAGTAAAATTTGGGTGAGTCAATAAATCGCTCAATTATTGATTTACTTCGTGTTAATCAGTTTAAATTTAATTCAATCGTCCATTTCCCACCCTTAAATATTGTGGTGTTATAATTCTTGCAGAACACAATTCTTTTACCTTTACTTTGATTCTATGCATTTTGAATGTCAATCTTGTTGAAAAAAATTAGAGCATTTGAGTTAGCATTGTTCAACACCATCTTTGTCCTACCCAACTTGGGCCTTATTTCCTTCGTTACCAATAAAAATGAGATGCTTGTCGAATTCAAGTTTGTTATTTCCCAAAAATTGAGTAGATTTCGTGCATAAGTATTTCTTATTTAAAAAGTATAATGATAAGTTATGTATATGTATGCAAAGTAGATAATATAAGCATGTGCCAATATCAACTCAACAGGGAAAGCGACCAATACTCATTTAGGAATTAGGTTGGCCTCATAGTTTTTGAGTAAAGCATTTTCTTATCTATGCACATTCATGTTAGTGGACCAACATAAATTAATTGTCTTCTAGCCAGGGTCTAATGACCCGACCGGTCGTTTTAAGCATTTGCACTTCGCTCGGTAGTTTGGGGCACAAGTAGCTCCATATAATATATTAGGACTTGTATGCAAATTTTGCGTTCATTCCGAGTTGCTTTGATATGTTTCGGCGTCAATTTTGGAAGTCGAAAGTTCGAAAGTTCATTAAGTTTGATTTGAGGTACATTTCGTTGTTTCGATATTGCTATGTGTATTTTGAGGCCTCGAGTAGGTCCGTATTATGATAGGAAGTTTTTGGTATGTTTAGATGGGGTCCCGAGGGGCTCAATTGAGTTTCGGATAGGTTTGGGTTGCGTTGCGCTCGTTTTTCCTATGTTTCGACGTGTCGTTTCTTCAAACATAAATGGTATCATATTGAACAAATGATCTCCGATTTTTATTTTTATTGAAGCATTAGATCTGTATCGTAATTACGGATCTATAGCAAAAAGAATCGTTAAATTTGGACATCGTATAAGGATTTTATGGTCATTTTACTAAGAATTGGGTTGCCAGATTTTTCAGATTAATTACGAAATTGCCATTGCAGCGTATTTAAAAATCTACACTATTTCCAAATATTGAAACCAATATATCTCCTTCAATATAAGGTCAAATGAAGTGATTCAAGAGCCTAACTTGACTAGAATTTCACAAGGAATCCATTGGAGGTATCAAAGTAAGTTTTGAGATCTTTTGGCAGAAGAAACGAGGCAGAACAATGTTAAACTGGGGGTTTTGTGCATTTAACATATTTTGAGTTGGGGAGCTCGAAATTGGGCAATTTTTCGAGGCGCTTTTTAGCATATGAATTGGGGTAAGTGTTCTATATTCGATTTTGATTATATTTCATGAATCTATCTTTGATTTTAGTTTTTGGTTGATGAATTTTAAAGAAGAAATTGGGGGTTTTGGCCTAAAGTTTCATAATATGAATTTTTGAATTTTGAACACCGATTCGGAGCCGGATTTGAGTGAAACTAGTATGGTTGAACTCATAATTTAATGGATTGACGGATTTTGTGAGTTTTATCGGGTTCCGAGGTGCGGGCCCGGGTTGGGCTTTTTGGCCGATTTTGGGCTTTTGATTAAAGATTCAACCTTTTCGGTTGGGATTCGTTCCTTTAGCATTGTTTGATGTATTTGAGTTATTTTTGATTAGTTTCGAGCCATTCAGAGGTCGGAATGTGTGTGATGGGATTCTTGGAGCATC